AGTTAGACAGAAAACAGAATGCTTCTAAAAAATTTTAGAACTGACCAATTTTACGGCTCTAAGCACATTTTCTGATATACGTTTATGTTCAAAATGGTAACTCTCTTTTTTTGGTGTCTGAAACTGCTGCTAACACTAAGGAATTACAATGTGCATTGTGCAAAAAAGCCTTTTAAAACGAGAGACACAAGCTGTTACAAAAAATATATCAGTACCTGCCAAAAACAACAACAAAAACTCTATGAATCTACAATGGAAGAAACCCCCTTCTACGCAAAAAAAAAAAAGAAGAAAAAAAAAGAAGTTCTTGACAATTGTCTCGAAAGAAAAAAAGCTAAAAATACTTTTACCTGTCAAAACCTAGAACATTTCTGCTTTGAAACTAACCTTTTTTCATTCAAAAAGACGCCCCTTACAGAGACATTACAATTTAACTTCAAAACACGCAGGCACTTTCAAATAAAAAAATACAGGTGGGCTGAAATGTTAACCATCCTGGGCAAATGTTGCTTTCAAAAAGTAACAAGAATCCTTCATTTTAAAAGGCAACGAATACAGGGGAACAACAGAACCGATAAAGATGAAGGCAGATAGTTAAGACAGTCTTCGCGAAAACAACTTTTAGGTACGAACTGGCTGAACTAAACTATCATAGAAACGCTGATAAGGTGTCTTCTCAAGAACATTTTCTTTCCATAAGTCAGGCGTCAAGTAAGAATAAGTTCGCTGTATAGCAGCGTATGTTGCCTGAAAAAGTAATTGAATGTTTTACCTTGACGGTAAAACAAGTAAACCTCAGGTACCAGCTGGGTCAAAACGACGAAAATTTTAAAGCTTATAAACAAATGTAATCCCTCACCTTAGCAAAGTTCCCAAGCGTTGCTGTTTGACCTACAGCAGATGTATAACAATCTTCAACACCGGCCATCTGCAGCAGCTTTTTAGGCACAGGTGCTGAAACGATACCTGTGCCTCGAGGGGCAGGAATAAGACGGACAAGGACAGAGCCACATTTGCCAGTGACCTAAAAGAAGAGTAAACTGCATAACAACTTTTACAATGTTGAGAACCGAATAATAAATACTCAGCCTGTCATATTTTTAAAATAAAGTAAAAATCACCTTGCAGGGAACAGTATGTGGTTGACCAATTTTATTACCCCAGTAACCACGACGAACAGGAATAACAGAAAGTTTTGCAGCCACAATAGCGCCACGAATTGCTGTTGCTACTTCTTTCGAACACTTTACCCCCAAACCAACATGGCCATTATGGTCACCAATAGCGACAAAGGCCTATAAAAAATGAAACATATTACGAAGCTAACTTCAGCAACTGCTCTTAGTGAAGTAAAAACAAAGTTTCACACCTTAAAACGAGTACGCTGACCAGCCCGAGTTTGCTTCTGCACAGGCATTATTTTCAGAACTTCATCCTTCAAATTAAAGAGTAGATGATCAATGATTTCGTACTCCTAGAAAAAAAAAAAGAGAAGTATATCTTCACAAAAACCTGTCCGAAAAAGGATAGACTCTGAGAATCTGAATTCAGGTTACATCACAGGTTAAAATAATTATTCCTCCGACAGTGTTGAAAATCCTCAACAAGCCCACGTTACACAAGCTTTCGAATATCAGTGTAAGAGTCAAAAACCACCAGTTTCCTACAAGACGCCAGCATAGTCATGTTTAAGTCAAACACCAAATCAGGAACAAACCGTGACCTTGGAAAAATAAAGAACTTTTTCCCCCAAAAAATTGTGTAATTTCTCATATTCCAAAAACTACATCTGTTAACCTCTGTAAAAATACCACCCAACACTGCTCAAACTAGTAATCCTAAATCGTTTCAAAAATGACAATACTTTTATTGGCAACGAGTAAAGATAGATCTCCTCAAGGGACATTATTTTTTTGTCTTTCACCAAACGACCCAATTTCGTGACAGGCATCCATTCCTTTTCTCCGTCTTTTCCACCCCTAAAAAAATATGATTAATCGTTTTATGTTACAGCACACCAGTTAGGAGTCAAACACACTCTCGAAAATTACCACACAAGTCCAAAAACTGCAAACGCGACTGGACTGCTGTAATCAAAGAATACATTTACCTTCCGCCACGTCCCCTACCACGACCTCGCCCTCGACCACGCTCTCCGCCTGCTCCACGACCTCGTCCTGTAAATGATCACGCTCCTGATTAACAAGTACCGGCAGAAAAAACTAAAGCAGCCAACAACCTTAATCAATCGCCTTTCAAACTGTGCTTAGTGTAAAGAGAGCAACAATCATTCAGAAATTTGTAAAGAATAAAAGAAAAATTTGTAAGAACTATACCTGCCCCGCTTCCAAAACCGCCTCTGAATCCTCCACGTTCTGCCATGAATCAACTTCTGATATACCTGAAGTTCAAAGCCTATTTCCATGTACTACACGATGTTTTCGATTAAAATACGAAACCACTTTATCGGGATTGCCAATTAAAATTTAATGTGTAGCCACACGACAATTTCTCCACAAGAATGGTGCAAGTGATCGAAAATAAGTTACAAAATACAAAGCAGAAAAGCTAGAAAACTGAATTACAAATTTTGTAAGTGGAACTAATCATCAGAAGCCATTATTATGCAACGGTAATAGAAAAACTGCAGATGACGAAAGTTCAACAGCTAAAAGTTAAATTCGACGTCGCGTGTGGACTACTCAAAACCAGCTCCATATCTGTAGTTTAAGGAAAATTTAACGTAAACACAATTTCATATTTTGGTTTCAGTGTCTGAATCTAAATACAAATTACAATCGTTAGCCAAAAGCGACAGTTGAGCATGTTCTGATCAAATTGGTGAATGACAAACCCCGCATGTAAGCATATCTTACGTTTAGGAATGAACGATGTACCTACCGTATAGATGTCGGAATAAGAACACTGTTTAGGACTATAACAGCACTATATTTTCAAACAAGTTCCCGTAACTTTCCCGTAGTGTTTAAATTGCCAGTTGCGGTGCTTTATAACATTTAAAAATCTTACTCTTTATCAATTTCCAACCTCATTGTCACTTGGCTATTAAATTTGAATAGGGCAGAAGATTGAAGCTTCAAAAGCTTTGAATCAACCTACAATATATCATTTTTCGAGGACAATCTTTGGGCGAAATACGAACACGAACGTAAAGTGCTCCAGAAAAATTCCTAGCTTTAGTGCATTACCGAAACCCAACAACAATTTCTCTTCCTTTACACTAATATCTACCTCATAACCCTGCAAAAACGGTAGAGTCCTACATAGTTGGCTTGACGTAAATGATCAAGTATATCAAGGAGCTCATTTGGACTAAGAGAACCTTAACTAGACCCTGCAAAAGATCAATAGGTAGAACCTCGTAAAAAATTTAGCTAGTAAATTACAATTTACAAATTTACAAAAAAGCTCTTGAACTGAAACGTAAAGATTATTTGTAGATATTCTTAGTCATATTTTGATAGTAACTTAAAAACGCTTTCAAAATTATTTTGCTCTCAACGTTCGTAATATCACAAACTATATATAGGCGGATTCAATCCTAATTTCCACTGGGCGAGAGAGCGGTTTTGGCTGGAATGATTCCAGCAGCACTGGCAGTGTGTCATTATGCTATATTGAGGCACCCGGAAGATACCAGAGAGACTCCGGAAAAAGTACCTCAAACTT